ATATAGGTCCCATCAGCTGAGCACAATACATTTGATTGAATATGTCCAAGTAATAAGGGTCGGCGGTCCACTTTCGGAATGTTTCACCTTCACCGCGCTTCCAATAAATGACGGTGCAGCCAGGGACGAAAGGAACTCGTTAACCGGACTCTCTTCATTTACTGAACAAGATGGGTTTGCCGTCTAATGTACCAACGCAATGGTGAGATCGCCTAGGATGCTATTTCATCCAAAACTAGCATAGGATGACGACGGCGTCAAGACGGCCACATAAAACGTGCAGACTTACTTTTGGCGTGTCTCTGATCCTGCGTTTATCAGTCCTTGGGGCTGGCATGCTAACTACCTTGACTTGGCTCGGGGGTGTTTGGAATGCCGCTATTCCCATGATGAGTCAACACATTAAGGCGCGCGAGCCGCCTCGCTGCGACCAGTCTTGTCTCGGACTGTCTGCCTCGCGTTCCCCCTTAAGTGCATACAACCTTTGTGTGAGTACGACTTGCGCGAACGTGCTTTGTCTGAATACACACTGTCTCGTGCTCGCTCGTCTTCTATTGTTACCCTCATACGGGCCTTGGGGACCGATCGGTTAACTCGCCGTTCGTGCTACTTAGAAGCACCAGGCGCGGATCATAACAGGGGGCCAGCCGTCAATCGGATTCAATGAAATGAAAACATTCATGACATGGTGCATCTGCAAAATGGGGCAGGCAAATCAGGTAGAATGAGCAACTTTATAAAGCGAAAACATACACCCGAATGGCACTGCTGCGCAACTAAATGAACTATGCTCACGTAAAACCGATTATCAAAACGAATCCTAAGGTAGACACCAAAGTTATTGCTCTCATTTCTTTGTCCCCTAATAAGTTTTAGTCATTGTACAATTTGTTCGTGTGGTGCCAATCTCGGCACTTGCATAAGGCGTTTACGAGCTGTGATCAATGAACGATTGAGTGACTCGGCGTCATGACGGTCAGCAGCGGAATACTATTTTAAAAAGCTTGAGACGATTTCTGAAACCCACAAGCCTTGACTCAGTATACTGACAATATCTTAGCTATAGTCAAATAGGAAACTATCCAGAATCGTATGACCTCAAATGCGGTCAGCTTAAAAAGAGACCGAAGACAATAAAATGCCGTTTCCAGATATCCTTTTCAGGGTAAGGCTAACGGTTGCCTACATAGGAAGGTCACTAATAAGTATTCAAAACCAAGTTGCCGTGGCAAAACCACCGCCATTTCACCAACGCGGCCGTGTACAAACTCTCTACAAATGTCAGATACACTGTTGTTGTCGAATCCTTTTATCGCCAGTACCTCACTGTGGCTAACGGATAAAAATACACCTTTGCGAATATAGCCATTAACACGGGCCAAGGTAACAGGAGAAGTCAGACGAACGGTCTCTTACACCGACAGCGTTTCAGCGGCAGTCACGAGCATATAACGACATAGAGAGATCAGTATTACTCGAACTGGAGTCAACAATCCAACTTTTAGTTACAACACACAAACACCCCGTACAAAGATGCGAAACGGCGGGTTTTTTCCATCAACAACCGCGTAAAAGTGAGGATGATAGAACACGCCAGGACACCGAAGAGAATGGACCCGGCGCCTAAGCTAGTAGAATAGTTCTCAAATTGTGGGCACGTGCCGATATCCCGGACCGAGAGGACAATTGGATGACCATGGGGAGAACATCATTTAATGTTGTGTAGATTCCTTCGTTGTAGCCTATCAAGCCCACCTCGCGCAATTCAACCAAGGAGAGCATGCATAGACCCGGAAGAAAGAAACCAAATTCAGACGCCTATGTAAGCATATCGGTACTCGGTTCGAATAAAAAAGGAGCAGTCTGTACTGGGATAACAACCACGGTCCTAACAGACAAGAGGGCAATGGAGGGGTTAGGACGTAATCAGTGATCCCAAAACAGAAATTAAGACGACACAGGCGCAAAACGATGACAGCCAGCGATTAAATAGCACTTCAGACGAGTCACAACAGCAGGACGAGTAAAATGAAATGTCGCCACGGCAAGCCCCTACCCAATTACAGAGTAATCTTTGAATAACGTCGCAGTAACGCGATCTTAACTTTCTAAACACGGAGACGCAATACAAATATTGTCTCCAACTATGAAAACCCATCCGCTTTTGGAACAATAATATGGTTAGCCAGACCAACGATTCCCTTTACTTATACCCACAGATGTTAATTGCCGTTGTTATGGGAAGCATATGTAGCTCTAAGTGCCGAAAACGACTAAAGGTAGTTCTGGAATTAAACTACAAACACTTAGTTGGAGACTTTAAGTTGGACGGACTAATTACGTAGTGGGCGCATTTACACATAAAAGTAAAGAGAAAAGAATCACGATTGGCCATTGGCTACGCAAACAGCCACCAAAGGACTGGATATACAATGCTGCTCGGACCGCTTCATCACCGTATCAATGAAATGTGGACCGCCCAGCAACACGAGCAGCAGTCGTGCATGGACTGCCACAAGCAATCCAATTAATAGAATCCACGAACACTTTTAACGACTACCGCATCGTTGTCGCGAACCAATTCTCTTACCAGAGCTGTCAGATCCCACGAAAGACCAAGATCCACAACGAAACCGGAGCACGAAGCACCAAAGTCAGACAGGTAGGGGATCGAGGGAACATTCTCAAAGTAAACGCAGGCATACGCATCCATGTTACAAAATACGCTCGGAAACGGGAGAGGAACATAGACCATTTATTGCGCTAGGCGATAAAAAGAAACCAATTCAACACAAATGTCTTGAGATATGCTGCAGAGGAAATAGCAAAGACGGATCCAAAACACTTGGGCGTTAGCAGCCTGAGTAGTGAGCATCTTTACAAATCTATTCGATTGAGTAGCCACCAAGTGAAGTTTACGGATAAGCACTTCTCAAAAGTGCTATTTTTGTAATTCTTAACAAAAAACACACGGCTAACGTGGTCAAGAATGCCCTAAAAGCTTTATTCTGATGACTCGGGATCAACTGAGGCGCCTGGGTAGCTATCACATAGGATAGGCAGGTATGCAGAACTGATTTGAAAATCAAACTACAATCTTCGAAGGCAGTCTATTAGAGACATCGGAAAAGGTGCGCCCGAACGCACAAAAACGTTTTCAAAGCCAACCCTATTTCCGTATGTCTCAGAATCTAACGCTACCTCAATGAAAGTACAGATCTTATGAGAAATCTTTGAACTGTACGATTTATTTCAAATTATTGCCATCCACAGCGCGTTAGAAGCCCCTGCGTCTGCTCTATTAAACGCCGTTGACGTGTCGAACTTCGACTGAGTCTATAGAACTCTAAGCAACAACGAGCGTAATAGGTAGTTTAGCAGGCAATTAGCATGCAGGCAACGAACGGTGCTCACGGCAGGCTATCGGTCGGCTTACACACGGCGAACGCAACTTGCAGTCAATCAATCAATAATTCAAAATGTAAGCTGAAAGTCAGCCGCTGAGTCACAAGCCGATCGTGCCGCTACCCACGTCAGGACAGAAGCTGATAGGATCGATGTACATAGCTTAAACTCGTTGTTACCCTAAATATGTTGTACCAATTACGCTTAAAGACTTCTGCTTTTGCCCTCTTCCTGTCGTGCTCTTCCTTGAGGGCTCACGCAAGATGTAATCAGGCTGTTAATATCTATTGCTTACAATGGTTCGACATCAAAATTATAACTAAACGCTGTACATCTGTTCATAATAAAGAATCGTAGTGATAATCCCCAGCCAAAGAATAACATCTTTCACAACAAAGTAAGATTATCACAGTC